TTCCCTGTTAGCCAAGCTAACAATGTTTTTACTTTCGGTTCGCTGCTCCACGAACCATTTGTCCTGCTCTCTCTTTACCTATAGAGAGGAGTAAACCAACTGTTCTTGTCCCAGTCCTTTTTTTGCCCCATTCTTGTCGTGGTCCCTTTTTTAGTCTAAGATTTTTTGATGGCAGCAACTCGTTGAGTGTCAGAAAAATTGGGCGGGATGTGGAATTACCCATGTTTTAATAACAAACAGTGAAAAGAAAACCCAAAAAATAAAATTGAATACCACCCAAAGGGCCAAGAAAAAAAAATATCCTTTGTTTCACTTTTACTCTGTCCGCTTTGACGCGGCTCTACTACTTTCCTTTTTATCCCGTCCGCTTTGACGCGGCTCTGTTGACCGTTCTCCCCTTCTCTACGGGTGAGAACAATAATCTTGCTCTTTTCGCGGATCCCCGCCTTACCTGGGGACTCACACCCCTGACTGCTGTGAGTTTTGAATTTTTTTCTTCGTACGAGCGTCCCCGTACGGGCCACCAACTGTCATGACCACCTCGACCAGCAAGGAAGACACGACTCAGGAATCCTTCTCACAAGCAGTTTATTTAGGACCTTGAACAAATCTTCTGACCCCAGGGAGTGCCCGCCCACAGCTTAAAAAGGCCCTTGGGCGGCCAACCCCGGTAAGCCATGTGGCGACAGCAGATAGGTCCACATACGAGGAAGCAAGCCTGATATCCAGCCTTGACCAAATAAGGAGTTATCACAGAGAGCACTTGCTGTCGGGCTAGCAGAGGCGGAAGCCAACACCATCTTAAGGGTGTGGCACTTCGCAGCTCTCTACACTGCAGAACATTAACTGTGTAAAGATGTGTTGCTTTTGTTTATTCTATGGAACATTAATTTAACTGTGTAAGGGTGTATTACTTTTGTTTATGATGCATTTGTTTAATTATGTAAAGATATGTTGCATTTGTTTCACCTTGCCTGACTAAGACACCTGATTGGTCTAATAAAGAGCTGAATAACCAATAGCTAGGCAGAGAAAGGATAGGGCGGATTGACAGGCAGAGAGAATAAATAGGAGGAGAAATCTAGGCTGGAAAAGGGAAGAATGGGAGGAGAGAAATCAGGCAGACAGAGAAGCAGGGAAAGTAAGATATACAAATGTAAGAAAGGTAATACGCCCCAAGACAAAAGGGAGATAAAGAGAAACAGGTTAAATTAAAAGAGGCAGAGGTAGGCAGATCTCTGTTGAGTTTGAAGCCAACTTAGTCTACAGAGCAAGAGTAAGTTGCAGAACAGCAAGGACTGTTACACAGAGAAACACTGTCTCAAAAAACCAAAAGACACACATACACAAAGAGGGAGACACAGAGAGAGAGAGAGAGAGAGAGAGAGAGAGAGAGAGAGAGAGAGAGAGAGAGAGAGAGAGAGAGAGAGAGAGAATGGTCACATAAATGGGCAAGAGGTGGCAGAATCCCAAAAGGGTTTAGTTCTCCAGAGCCTAAACTTGGAGGCTTGGGAAAGAAATTACCTCTGAAACCCCAATCATATGCCACCTTCATTTCCCCTTATCTCAGTCCAAACAATAAGATGAGAAACTGGCAAAAGGGCGCTGGGGAGGGTGACCCAGCTAGCTAGCTGAATTGGTGTGCAATTACAGAGCTCTGTGGTCAGGGTTAAGAATGGCAAATGAGAGCAAGGCGTTGGTGGTGTACACCTTTAATCCCAGCACTCAGGAGGCAGAGGCAGGCGGATCTCTGTGAGTTCGAGGCCAGCCTGGTCTACAGAGCAAGTTCCAGGACAGGCTCCAAAGCAATACAGAGAAACCCTGCCTCAAAACAACAACAACAAAAATGGCAAATGAGCCAGATAGTGGTGGCACATGCCATTAATCCCAGCACTTGGGAAGCAGAGGCAGGCAGATCTCTGTGAGCTGGACGCCAGCCTGGTCTAAAGAACTAGTTCCAGGACAGGTAGGGCTGTTACACAGAGAAACCCTATCTCAAAAAACAAAAACAAAAACAAAAAAGGCAAATGAGGGCTGGAGAGATGGCTCAGAGCACTGTGGTGGAATATTATGTTAAGGTGTGTGACTTTTATGCTGCATTTGCTAAATTCCGTGAAGCTGTGATTCCTTTCCTGTCTAAAACATCTGATAGTCTAATAAAGAGTTGAACAGCCAATAGCGAGGCAGGACCAAGGACAGGCAGGGCTGGCAGGCAGAGAGTATAAATAGAAGGATAACCCAGGAAGAAGAGCAAGGGAACAAGAGAGAAAGGAAGACTTCAGAGGCCCATCCACCCAGCTACACAGCTAGACACAGAGTAAGAAAAAAAAGTATACAGGAGCCGGGCGGTGGTGGCTCACACCTTTAATCCCAGCACTCGGGAGGCAGAAGAAAGTGGATCTCTGAGTTGGAGGCCAGCCTGATCTACAAGAGCTAGTTCCAGGACAGCCTCCAAAGCCACAGAGAAACCCTGTCTCAAAAAACAAAAAACAAAACAAAAAAAGTATACAGAAATAGAGAAAAGCCCCAAGGCCAAAGATAGGATAATTTTTAAATTTACTTTTATTTTATGTGCATTGGTATCAGATGCCCTGAAATTGAAGTTACAGACAGTTGAGAACTGCCATGTGGATACTGGGAATTGAACCCCAGTCCTCTTCAAGAGCAGCCAGTGCTCTTAACCACTGAGCCATCTCTCCAGCCCCCTAGATGGGATAATTTAAGAAAAGCTGGCAAGCAACAAGCCAAGCTAAGGCTGGGCAGACCCACCACCCCCAAAAGAATAAGGAACCAAAAGAGCAAAAACATTGCACAACAAGCACTGGCTGCTCTTCCAGAGGACCTTAGTTCTATTCCCAGCACCCACATGGCAGCTCACAACTGTCTGTAACTCCAGTTCCAGGGGGTCTGATACCTTCATACCAATATACATAAAGCAAAGTAAATAAAATAAAAAGAATGGCAAATGAGAGCTGAGCTCTGTGGTGAGGGGATATGTATGGAGCACCCCCCCCAAGGTTTTCGAGGAAGAGACCATTACTTAACCAGCAGAGCACTTCATTAAAACAGGTTGTGGGAGGCCAGATGTCAGGAAACAGGTTGGACATCAGCTACGGTCATCACCATAGGCCTCTCCAGCCAGACCTATGTTCTTTCCCTGCACTTCCCTTCTGAGTCTTCCTAGCCCAGGTATGTAGCCTTCTTGTCAAACTTATAGTTGAAAGTAGTCTAGACCGGTCATTCGCTCTACCCCATGTTATCAAAAGGAAGCCAGTTCCTAGGATGCATGGGACTTGTGAAATTCAAGTTCAGTGATTAGAAGTGTGTGTTGTGTGTCAGGAGTCCCCACCAAGTTTATGGACAACCCTACATCACAGGTCAAGACTAATCTGTGTCAGCCCTGGGACCAGTTCCTCAAAAAGGTTCTCATGCATACTCCCACACCATGTGCTCCATGTCTCTTCTCTGGGTGCTAAGACAGATGGCATCCCAAAGAGAGGAAAAGCAGAATTCAGGGTCCTCTGTCTTTGAGGAGACTTGTGCCCAGGCAGGAATGGGTATCTCTAGGCATTCATACTGGGAGGATGAGGAAAGCGGATGTTGTTTCCTGCCAGGATAAGTGCATTCCTGTACTGTGTCATCCTGCAGAGAGGGACCAAGAGAGCCCTAGGAGCAGAGAAGCATAGGGAGGGAAAGTGAGGAGGGCCAGGCTGGAGTGGCGGGTGTGAGACAAGCAAGAAGCCATCTTCCTTCTTCCCAGATTCCTATAGGTTTTCCTGTCGTTTTCAGAAGCAGCAAACATGAGTCCAAAAGACCCTAGCCAGAAGCACTTGCAGTGGAAAAAATAAATAAATAAATAGGGATAAAGGGCTTGGACAGGAACCATGCTCCCCATCTGGGGTCAAGCACACAGAGAAGAGTCCTGCCCCAGGGCCTTGGTGGAAGATAGCTGTCACCTTTTCCTGCCTGTTCAATCTGTATCTGTATCTCCTGGCAACAGGAAATCATCACTTTTCAAATGCTGCTACTCCTAAAATCTGAGAGTAGCCACAGGGCGGTTCTTTTTGTTTTGTTTTTGCTTGAAAGGCTCAGGAAGCCCTTGCTGACATTCTTGCTTGGGGGCCCAGGCTTTAAACTTAGTCACTGTCCAGAGCCCTTGTTTTAGGAAAGAATGAGATTGCTGTTGCATAACTCAGAATTGTGCTGTCAGGGGAAGGGGTGGGGGGATGGACCAATGTGGCAATCCCACCTCTTCCTTGAGACTTGCAGGGGACTTGCTCACCGCTGCCTAGGGTGAAACTATGCCTAGGGGTGAGCAGGCACTGCCTTGCATGGGCCCACTGGAGATGGTCAGGCAAAAAATGATCATAGAAGTACTGAAATTCTCAGGCCGGTCCCTTCCCAAACCCTGTGGGCTCAGAACAATCCGAGAATCCCAGAAGACCCAAGCGATGACTAGGGAAAGGAGAAAGCTTGAGGAAAGGGAAATAATAGAGGGACAAGTTAACTCGAAGGGCCTAGAGGAGGGTACAGCCTGGTCTGTGGCCAGACGACTGTGCCTAAAAGCATCTAGAATATGATCCCCTCCAGGAGCTCCAGACCCCCTTTCCCTCCCTTGGCACTCAGAGGCTCTCAGCAATACTAGGGTTCCTACAATTTACTCAAGGTGCATTCCTGGTTCCACCGCTGCTCCCTCAAGCTTTTTTTGTCATCTCCCCACAGAATAGATTCTCTGTTTTTGGTTTTGTTTTGTTTTCAGGCAAGGAGGCTTTATTTTGCCCCTTCCCCACACTACGGGGCCTTCATTTTCCTGTGCATACACGCATGCTAACTGGATTTCAGGGTTCACTGTCCTTCCCTTCACTCCCCCCTGTCCCACAGTCCACTTTAGCCAGATGTACAGCTCCCAAATTCCGGGCGAGATTCCCAGGAACAAAGCAAGAAAAAAATCAGAACAATTTGGGAAGTAAACAGCTGAGAAGAAGGAGGGAGGGAAGAGTCGAATGGACCCAGGTGGGTGGCCCTCCAGTCCACCCAGTTTAGGGAATGCCCCTGCCCCTTCCCCTCCCCTTTCACCTGGGTTTTAAGGGAGGGACTTTTAAGAGCTGCTGGAGCAGGGGCCAGTCGCAGCAGCTGCACTAGTCTCTGGAAGGAGTGCACTGAGCAAAAACTCTGACCATGACTGGGAACAGTCTGCCCCCTCAGCCACTGCTCCTGATGCTAACTCTGTTGCTCGCTGCGAGCTCAGGGTTTGCCTTAACGCGGTGCCCCGGCTGTGGGCCAGGGGTGCAGACCAGCTGTCGCGGGGGCTGCGTGGAGGAGGAAGATGTGGGGTCGCCTACAGAGGGCTGTACAGAAGCCGGGGGCTGTCTCAGGAGAGAGGGGCAACCGTGCGGAGTCTACATCCCTAAGTGCGCCCCAGGACTGCAGTGCCAACCACGAGAGAATGAAGAGGCACCTTTGCGGGCGCTGCTGATGGGCCAGGGCCGCTGTCACCGCGCCAGGGGGCTGTCGGGTGAGTTCATGTCCCACCCCTCCTTCCATCTGCCCTCCTGAGATAAGAGAGGTTAGTCTCTCCTGGCAGGAATCTGGATCGATTCAGGTGGGCAGCTTCTTCGAGCCTTTGGGACGGGCCCATTAGTTCCTCCCAGGCCTTGAGTGAACAGCCAAAGAGGAAAGATCAGGGAACAACTATGAGGCTGCGTGAGGCTAGTGGCACCTGAAAATACGAAGGGGGGATGTCCGGACTCTCCACTCTCCCTTTCCGCTATTTATTTTCTCCTGAGGGAAAGGAGCATATGTAGAAGGAGGTGGAGAGTTTTAGTTCTAGCTATCCCTTATACACCACAGGCTCATCTCCATCACTCTAGTGGCCCACACTGGAGACAGGACCTGGATTTCATATGGAGGAGGAAGAAAGGGAACCTCATACTCCAGCAGCACACACAGAAAAAATGTCTCCTGCTGCCCTTTCAGTGCCAGTGTTGGAGGCACCTGATCCCTGCAGTCTAAGAGATACTGACGAGTATTAGGCTAGACCAGGGACAGTGGGCAGGCCCTGGAGGGTCTGGGGAGAGCCAAAGAGGTGGGGAAAGGAGTCTGCCAAATCAGGCTTATTATTTAAACCTGGTTGGAACTGGATGCCCTCCCTGTTCCACCCTACCCCAGGGATGAGCCCAGGAGACTGAGTCATTGGGTGGGGGGGACAAGAGTGAGTCAGTACCCAAAAGATGGGGGGTGAGGAGGCAACTGGAAGCTAGATGACAGTAAGAGTTCCTGGTTTTTAGCCGGGCGTTGGTGGCACACACCTTTAATCCCAGCACTCGGGAGGCAGAGGCAGGAGGATCTCTGTGAGTTCGAGGCCAGCCTGGTCTACAGAGCGAGTTCCAGGACAGCCTCCAAAGCCACAGAGAAACCTTGTCTCGAAAAACCAAAAAAAAAAAAAAAAAAAAAAAAAAGAGTTCCTGGTTTTTCCACAGAAAGGGATGAGAAGTGAACTTGGACCACTGGACATGGTATTGCATGCCTGTAATTCCAACGCGTAGGGGTGGAGGCAGGAAGACCTGTTCAGCATCATGCTTTGCTATGTAACATCAGGCCAGGCTAAACTAGAGACCCTATCCCAATCATGCGCACGAGCGCTCTCTCTCTCTCTCTCTCTCTCTCTCTCTCTCTCTCTCTCTCTACACACACACACACACACACACACACACACACAGACCACAGCAGGATGTGGTGGGGGGTGTTGGAGTCTGATTCTCTAGTGTCAGAGCCCAGGCTTCTAGGACTCCTCTTAGAAGGTTTGTTTTGGTTGGAAAAGGCAATTTGAAGCATCATCACAGCTTGGCACTAAATGCAGGGAGAGAGGTACAAGGTCTGAGAAAGGCATGGTACCCAGGGAATAAGGGTTAAGACAACTGCAGAAAAAGTGGAGTTTAAAAAAAAAAGTAAAAAAGTATGAGAGTTCATCTTTTGGCATTTGCTATCTTTTCCCTAGCCCTGGCTCACTTCTGTCACCCTTCCCAGTCCTGAGCTCTCCCCAGAACACCCAAAAACTTTCCAGAACCAGGGGCAACCTGCAGGTTGGAAACCTCTTATTTCCTGCCCCTTTGCAGCCTTCAATGCATGCTGGTTAAGGGTTGAATACAGATGCTTTTGGACCACTAGGGTTGAACTGGGACACAAAGGAAGAGGCCCCTATGCAAAGCCCTTAAAATAACAATATCTCAGGCCTGGGAGAAGCAGACTGAGTCACTGGAAGGTCACTACAGGGGCACACATTCCATTGGGTCCCTAATGACACATACACACACACACTCTCCCTCCCTCCCTCCCTCCCTCCCTCCCTCCCTCTCCCTCCCTCCCTCCCTCTCTCCCTCCCTCCCTCCCTCCCTCCCTCCCTCCCTCCCTCCCTCCCTCCCTCCCTCCCTCCCTCCCTCCCTCCCTCCCTCCCTCCCTCTCTCTCTCTCTCTCTCTCTCTCTCTCTCTCTCTCTCTCACACACACACACACACACACACCTACCTCCCTGGCTTGGTGTGCTCTCTTCTGGCCTCTAGTGGCATAAGCAAGTCTTTTCACAGGAAGCCTAAAGGCTGGAAGAAAACCAATAGTGCTTTGTGACTCTGAGTTTTTGCTTTCCAAAATGTTCTCCTTTATAAGACAAGTGGATCTCAGCCGGGCGGTGGTGGCGCACGCCTTTAATCCCAGCACTCGGGAGGCAGAGGCAGGTGGATCTCTGTGAGTTTGAGGCCAGCATGGTCTACAGAGCGAGTTCCAGGACAGCCAGAGCTACTCAGAGAAACCCTGTGTGTGTGTGTGTGTGTGTGTGTGTGTGTGTGTGTGTGTGTGTGTGTGTGTGTGTGTGTGGTGGGGGAGGAGCGGTTGCTCTGGGAAACATTATCTGTAGGATTTTATTTTTATTTCACATGTGTGGGTGTTGTGCCTGCATGTATGTTTCTGTACCACATGGTGCCACAAGAGGGCTGAATCCGTTGCAGCTGGAGTCACAGATAGCTGTTGTGAGACACCATGTGGATTCTGGGAATTAAACTCAGTCCTCTGGTAGAGCAGCCAGTGCTCTTAACCACTGAGCCATCTATCCAGCCCTGTGTTGAGTAGACCAGACTGGCCTTGAGCTTGTGGCAATCCTCTTGCCTAAGCTTCCCACGTGCTGGGACTACAGGTATACACCTCCCTACTCAATAGTACAATTATTTGTCAGAGGAAGAAACAGCAGCCAGGATGAGGCTAGGAGAAAAACTGGCTACTTTTAGTTCATAAAGCCATCAGTTGCTCGTACTTTAAACAGTAGAGATGGACCAAGGCTCATGTGGAGCTAGTTTTTGGCCTTGACAGATTTCTGATTTCTTCTCCCATTCTTATGGCCACAGAAGAGACAACAAAGGAAAGTAAACCCCATGGAGGTGCCTCCCGCCAACGTGACACAAGCCACAGAGACCGGCAGAAGAATCCAGGAACCTCCACCACTCCTATAAGGCCCAATCCAGGGAGTGTTCATGACACTGAGATGGTGAGTGCAGGGTTGGTAGGGAGGCTGAAGGCTGGAGACTTTCACTGGAGACAGCTCCACGGACCAGGCAGGCTCCTGGAATTCTGAGCACCGCCCCCACCCACCCCTGTTCCTCTCCAGGGTCCTTGCCGAAGGCACTTGGATTCAGTCCTGCAGGGCCTCCAGACTGAGATCTTCCGAGGGGGGGCGCCCGGACTCTACATGCCCAATTGTGACCTCAGAGGCTTCTACAGAAAGCAGCAGGTGAGAAGAGGCCTCTGCTCCGCTTTGCAAACTCCCTGCCAGGACATGAGAAAGGGTACTTACCAAGCTGCAAAAAAGATGCAAAAAGGCTGCTGGGTGTGCTGGGAGGACAGGAGCAAGTCCCTGTCTCAAAAACAAGCAAAACACACAGGACAGACACGCAAGCTACCTCCCCGGCCTCTCAGGGTCTTCCAACTTAAAACCCACATAGACATGAAAAGAGTCAGGAGGATAAGTTCAAGGCCCACCTGGCCTACACACTCAGTGAGCCTCTGTCTCAAAATAAAGAGTAAAATGAGAAGTCGTTTATAGTTCATTGGTAAAGCTTTGCTTACCAATGCCCTGAGCTCAATCTCTAGAAAGAAAGAAAGAAAGGAAGGAAGAAAGAAAGAAGGCCAAACATATCAGTAGAAGACTTAAAGTCACCTCTAGGCAGTGGCCTTGCCATGGCTGTCAAAGGACAAAGGAGGGCCCTGGGAATCTTCTGGAGGCATATGAGCTGGTGGGGACACACACACACACACACACACACACACACACACACACACACACACACACACACACACAGCCCAATATGCAGTTTCTGACTCAGCCTTGTGGGCTAGGATGAGAACACCCGTTTCTAACACAAAAGTGGTGCAGGCGCTGTTGATTTGGTGGGAACTGCATTTTGAAGACTATTGTTCTGGCTTAGCATGGTGGGCCCTATTTAGTAGGTCAAGGGACCAAAAACCCTCAGATGTTCCTCTTGCTCAAGCCTAGACCTCACCCTGATCTGTGCCTCTCTCCCCAGTGTCGGTCCTCTCAGGGGAATCGCCGTGGTCCCTGCTGGTGTGTGGATCCAATGGGCCGGCCCTTGCCGGGGTCTCCAGATGGGCAAGGAAGCTCTCAGTGCTCTGCCAAGACCAGTGGCTAAAGCAGGGTGGGAGCCTCCAGGACACTGTCAAGAGTGCAGGGCTGTCATCTGAGCTTTGTGTGGAATGATGAGTCACCAGGGGCTTTGTGCCCATGTCCTAGCTTCAGGTCCCGTCCTATTGTCCCCTCACCCTTGGGCCTTTACACATTTAGTTAGAAAAATTGTTATTGACTTGGGGCATTAATAAAGCTGTGCTGGCGGAGGTCTCTGCTTTATGTCTTTGTGTTCAACCCTTACAGCTCTGGAGTCCCAGGCTACCTTCCCGGTGGACCACTGTCCTAGGAACGCAATAGATGGTCACTGCCATAGGCCTCAAGCCCTCTAGCCTCACCTTGTGGGGATTGACTGAGATCCTGGCCTGCAAATCAGTACTGCAGCACCTGGTTACTGGGGAGATTATGGTGACTGCAACTTTGTTTCTACTGCTGATCTTTGGACAGATACAGAAGGATTAATGGTTAATCCCCAGCAGGAATTTGCCATAAAGGGAAGTCCCAAAGCACTTACCAGCCCTATGTCCTACCAAAAAGACTCTATGTGGTTTACTCAGACTACCATATTTGTGCTGGCACTCACCTGAAGAGGTAGGGACTTTTTGCCCCATTTTTTCCCCCAGAAGCTTAAAAAGTTTGAATCGCTTTCCGGAAGTTACACAGGATAGGCAGGGAATGGCAAAGGGAGGCAGGGCAACCCCTGGCACTATTTAGTGTTGAGCAAGTGTGTCTGACCTTTCTGTTTACGTGGGAGCCCAAGATGTAGGGAAGAGCTGACATTCAGGGGCCTTGCTGCCTGGAATTCCTTGAGGGACCTCAACATCACAACAAAATATCGTTGCACACATGTAACTACAGTCCTCATCTTGTGCCCTCAGAAAGGGCAATACAAGGTACATGAAGATGTTTCTGGCCCAACACTGACCTTCAGTCTTCGTAGAGCCAGGAGGCGCCATGCTAGGTGATAAGCCCCAGGAAGGCAAAGTCTCCCTCCCAGCCTTAGGCACAGATTCGCTCCTGAAAGGGAGACAGCAAGCATGAAGCTGGCCAATGTGGTTGCGGGTAGAGGGGCTGTGACATTCAGCAAACAGAGCAGAGCCAGGATCTGAGAAGCTCGGCCTTCAGATAACCTATCTAACCCCCAACCCCCTCCAGAAAGGACTTTAGTCTCTGGAGTTGTCAGATCTCCGAGTGGGATAAGAGTTCCGTAGGAAGGTTGAAAAAGAAAGGAAGAAGACAGACAACAGCTGCCCGCTCTAGACAGGCACCATGGAGCCAAACGGGTCCCAACTGCGGAGAAGAGAAGGCCTGGGAGAGGAGCAGGAGAAGGGAGCCCGTGGAGAAGGTGAGCCCTCGCCCCGCCCCGCCCCGCCCCGCCAGCCTGAGGTGGGTACCGCAGGCTTAGAGTTAGCTGTGTGGCTGAAACTTACTTCCTTGCTCTCCTGTGAAGCCGGAGAAGGCGGTTTCTGCACTGTTCCTCACACCACTCAGACTGGCAATGGAGGAAAGAGAGATTCGGAGTGTGGCCTTGCCTTCATAGGGTGAATGGAGCACTTCCCCGTGTTCTGTGCCCCCTGTGTCGCGATTGCATCAGGCCCTTTCTTGCCAGTGGCCTCATTCACAACACATATCACTTCCCTTTTTAGTGGCTCTACTCACGATTCTAAATATTGATTGGGAACGGAGAGACTGGTGAGCATAGAGAGCATTTTCCAGATCGAGGTCAGCTCTGACTAGAGCCCTAACTCCTCCCTCTGGAGTGTCCCTTTCGGTTCTTCCTTCTAGGAAACACTAAGACGCACAGAGCCCCAGACTTGGTGCAATGGACCCGACATATGGAGGTGAGGGATCACAGAGGGCAGGTCTGGGCTGGGGTTGTAGCTCAATTGGTAGAGCGCTAACCTATCATAATGAAGACTGGGCTTGGTCCTAGCACTCCGTAAACCCAGTGTGGCCGCATACAACTATAATCCCAGCACTTGGGAAGTAGATGGGAGGCTCAGAAGTTTGGGGTCATCCTGGGCTACAGGAGACCTTAAGAAATAAAAGGTAGCTGGGCAGTGGTGGTGCACGCCTTTAATCCCAACACTCGGGAGGCAGAGGCAGGCGGATCTCTGTGAGTTCGAGGCCGGGCTGGACTGACAGCCTCCAAAACAATACAGAGAAACCCTGTCTCATAAAAACCAAAAAAAAAAAAAAAAGAAGAAATAAAAGGTAAACTGGGTGGTGGTGGCTCACACCTTTAATCCCAGCTCTTGGGAGGCAGATCTCTAAATTAGAGTTTGAGGCCACCCTGGTCTATGGAACAAATACAAGGACAGCAGGAGAAACCCTGTCTCAAAAATAAATAAATAAATAAATAAATAAATAAATAAATAAAGTTTTCAAGCTCACAGAATTAAGGTTTACTGAAGGGCAGTGTTGAAGCCTAAATCACTAGTTAGTTACTGCTTAGCTTTTTTTTTGTTTCTAGTAATAATCAGAAATAAAATCTCTTTTAAAATTAACAGTAGCCAGGCAGTGGTAGCACACACCTTTAATCCAGCACTCAGGAGGCAGAGGCAGGCGGATCTCTGTGAGTTCGAAGCCAGCCTGGACTACAAGAGAGAGTTCCGGGATAGCATCCAAAACCACAGAGAAACCCTGTCTTGAAAAGCCAATAATAATAATAATAATAATAGTAGTAGTAGTGGTGGTGGTGGTGTGTGTGTGTGTGTGTGTGTATGAGAGAGAGAGAGAGAGAGAGAGATTTGGAAGTCAGTTCTCTCCACTGTGGGTTCAGGACCAAAATCAAGTCATAAGGCTTGCACAGTAAATGTTTTAAATGCTTTTACCTTCTTTCTGGGCCATCTCACCAGTTTTTGTATAAATATTTTAAAACCTCAGTTAAATTTTCTGGTAGCATTGTTCTAATAATGCCAACTTAGATCCCATCTGCCCCAATTTAAAATAAATAATCTGTTAGGTTTGTTTACATCCTTTAAATTAAAAAGAATCAGGCTAGCAAGGTGGTGGTGTCACATGCTTTAATCCCAGCACTCAGGAGGCAGAGGCAGGTAAAACTCTGAGTTCAAGGCCAGCCTGACCTACAGAGTGAGTTCCAGAACAGCCAGGGCTACACAGAGAAACTCTGTCTCAAAAACACACACACAAAACAAATAGAGGAAAATAATTGTGCTAAGATGGAGTTGTTTAAAACATAGGTCTTTGGGCAAGGACCAAGAATCAGCTGGTGAGGTCTTACTGTTAGCCTGGGTACAGTTCAGAGGTTAGAGAGTGAGGATTGGAGTGACAGCTTCCCTCCCGCTGTCATTTTTTCCCCCTTTGAGATGAATCACTCACTCAAGCCGGACTGAATTCATTGCCCTCCTCCGAGTAGCTGGGATTACAGGCATATGCTACCACACTCAGCTTCTGCTGAGGGTCTTTGCCCTTATGGCTGCTCCAAGAAGACAGACAGGGGTTGGGGAAGCTCTGGGGCTGTGCTTACGTCTTCTTGTTCCTAGCACTGCGTGGTTCAGAGAGCAGCTCTGAAATGTGTGATAAGAAAGGAAAGGCTGACGGGAGGGACAATGGACTCTAGCCTGGCTTTGTCCTACAGGCTGTGAAGACCCAGTTCCTGGAACAAGCACAGAGACAGCTGTCAGAGCTGTTGGATCAGGCCATGTGGGAGGCTGTGCAAGCCTACCCCCAACAAGACAGACCGTCTACTGCCCCAAATACCACACACAAGTGAGTCTGCGGTCCCGCACAGGTGCTCTTGCAGCTGTATGCCTGCCCCTTGCCAGCCGTGGCCATGACCCTGGCGTCAGCGTTCTGCCTGTTCTGATTACCCGGTCTTCACGGCACTGGCCTCCATCTTTGGGGTCTTGCTCTGCCCCAACCCTGGCCTTCTCCTGCTACCACTACAGCTTGTCATTACCTCCCACGTGACACACTGCCCTCCACCTTCTCTCTTTGGGACTTGGTTCTGAAAACTGTCTCAATCTAGGACCCGGGAGTTACCCCACATGAAACGGAAAGTTTTCATCTCCCGAAAGTCGCTGCTCGAGTAAGTTGGGGGGAGGACAAAGGACAAAAAGAAGAGGCTTGGCTGGGGGTCCCACAGATGTCACAGTTCTCATGCATGGGCTTCAGAGGTCTGCTGGGAGGTTTGGAGAGAGCTCTGCCTCCGTGTTATGGAGGGGGACAAATCACAGGCAGAGATGCCCCGGGCTTGCCCTCAGCTGGGAGTTCTGGATTCCTGGGCCCCACACCCCTCATGAGTGTAGTCCCAAGCGCCTCTGCAGACTGCTGAAGACCCTTCCACGCTGACCCTCGGCCTCCTTCCTTTCAGCGAGCTGATGGAGGTGCAGCATTTCCGAACCATATACCACATGTTCATCGCGGGTTTATGTGTCTTGATCATCAGTACCCTGGCCATCGACTTCATTGTCGAGGGCAGGTAGGTCCCTCCCACAGACACAATGACCTGATCAGATGCTTGCCCTACCTCCCACAGCCGTTTGAACCTTCTTTCCCTAATCTTGGATGGCCTACTCGCTCTCAAGTGATTCTCCATGGTAATCTTGCCTTAAAACAAATGTAACTGCTCTCTCACAAACTACTCAGTTCAGGTAACTTACATTGATTTTCTACCAAGCACAAGCCCTAGATAAGTGAGGGTAAAACCCATTCCCACCTTTGAGCCATCTCCCATCTCAGCGAAGATCAACGAACACAGTCCTCAGAGGAATACCCTCCATTGGAGGTCTGCATTTTAGTGTTCCCAATCTATCCCAAAGACAGGCTTAAGAAGTTCTAAATGGGAGAGGGTGAAGGGCCTACAGGTTCAGCTACAGCCCTTCCCTCTAGTAAAATGTCTATTATTAATTATGAGTAGTGTACACCTTTAATCCAAGCAGTCAGGAGGTTGAGGGAAGTGGATCTCCATGAGTTCAAGACCAGCTTGGTCTACATAGAAAGCTCCAGGCCAGCAGGGGATGGGTATATAATACAAGGTTATCTCAAAGGAACAAACAAAACGAAAATAAAAAGAATGAGAGCATTACTATAGGGATCAAATCAGGCTGAAGGTAGTTTGTTTTTGTTGCTTAAGACGGGTTTCTCTATGCAACTCTGGCTGTCCTGGAACTGGCTCCGTAGACAAGACTTGCCACGAACTCAGAGATCCACCTGCCTCTGTCTTTTGAGTGCTGGGATTAAAGGTGCTCCACCAACGAGCAGGCCTGACTTTTTGTTTGTTTGTTTAATAGCTTGAGTTTGACATAGAGTGTTCCCTGTGCATTCACATTCATATATCCATAGTCACCACCAAGATGCATGCTGTGGAGGTGTCTATAAGCAAGATGCTGTATCTGTGATTTTGCAACAAATTCTTATCTTTCTATGCCAATCTATTGATTTTAGTGATTACAGAAAGCAGAAGGAGCAGATTTTATTCATGCAGTCCTTTATTAACAGCTATTGAAGTGGTTTCCAGTGTTTGTCTATTTGTTTGAGACAGGACCTCATAGCCCAGGCTGAACATGAAATTGCTAGGTAGCTAAAGATGGCTTTGAACTTCTCTTCTTCTTGTCTCTACCTCTCAAGTACTTGGATTTCAGGCATACAGTACCTGGTTTATGCCATGCTGGGGATTGAACATAGAGTTCCATGCATTCTAGGCAAGCACTGCACCAACTAATCTATATCCTCAGACCTATTTACAATTTTTCAACCTTATAAGCCACACGTTGTGTGTTTAATTTAATTTTATGCGTGTGAGTGTTTTACCTGAATGTCTGTGCATCATTTGTGTTTGGTGCCAAAGAGGTCCAAAGAGGACATACATTGCATCCCCTGGAACTGGAGTTACAGATGGTGTGACCCACATGTAGGTGCTGGGGATTGAATCTGAAAGAGCAGTCAGTGAGTATTCTTAACCACTGAGCCCTCTCTCCAGTCCCAAACAATATATTCTTTTAACAAGCTGGGTTTTGTTATTGTTGTTTGTTTTGTCTTGTTTTTGAGACAAGGCCTTCCTGTATCTTAGCTAGTCTAGAACTCTCCATTCTCTTGCTTCAGCCTTTGAGGACTGAGAAGTCAAGCAAGTGCCAATCAGTCCACCCAGGCAAAACCCTGAGCATGGTGCGTGGGGCTGCACACTGGAGGAACCAGATTAATAAGAAAAATAAAATAAATCGAAGCTCATCTCAACTCTTCTTCATACCCCAATGCTTGCAGTACTGAGCCTTCTGCAACACTGACCTAGGGCTCCAAAGGTCATTTAGATCAAGTCTATCCCATGGCTGTGTCTCTGAGGCAAGGGCCGGCACTGAATTCCTGCACAACACCAGGGCAAACGTGGACACTTTCAGAACACAGCCTATCAAGGGACTGGCCCAGACCTGCATGAATTGGACATGGTGACCTATACAGCAAGATTAGACATGTAAGGTCATCCTGAGCTACATAAGTGAGCTCATGAGCAGCCTGGGCCATACAAGACCTGTGTAAAAAAAAAGCAAAAACAAACCTGTACCAGGCTTTTTCATTTGGGCCACCAACAAACTCCCAAATCATGACAGAGACTTATTATTCCTTTATAATGCTCGCCCAGCTTAGACACGTTTCTGGCTAGCTCTTTTAACTTAAATTAACCTGTTTCTCTTCACCTTTTTGCCCCAGGCTTATTGCCTTTCCTACTTTCACTGCTTCCTCTGTCTGTTGGCTGGCATCTGCCTGGCTTCTTGCTTGTTCTCTCCTCCTTCTCTATTGTCTTTCTTCTCTCTAGCCTAGATTTCTCCTATTTATTCTTTCTGCCAGACAGCCCCACCTATCCTTTCTCCTGCCTGGCTATTGCCTGTTCAGCTTTCTTTTAGACCAATCAGGTGCCTTAGGCAGGCAAGGTGAAACGGATGTAGTCTTTTCATAAACTAATGCAGCAGAAACAAATGTTACGTATCTTTGCCCAGTTGGAATAATATTCCATAACACAAACCCTTCTGTTTGCCTAGGTTACTTTCTTCCTTTCGTCTCTCCTAGGCTAATGTTGGAGTTTGACCTACTCATCTTTAGCTTCGGACAGCTGCCCTTGGCCCTGATGACCTGGGTTCCAATGTTCCTGTCCACGCTGCTAGTGCCCTACCAGACCCTGCGACTGTGGGCCAGGCCAAGTGCCGGGGGCACCTGGATGCTGGGTGCTGGCCTGGGCTGTGTTCTGCTGGCTGCCCATGGAGCGATGCTCTGCGTCCTCCCGGTCCATATGGCAGTGAAGCATCAGCTTCCACCGGCCTCGAAATGCGTGCTGGTCTTTGAGCAGGTGAGGACCTGGGATCTCTGAGACCAGGTCCGCAGATAACGGCAGTGAAACAACCTAGGGTTTGGTGAGCTTGTGACTCAGAAAAGCACACAAATGAGGTGGCTAGGTAACACCGACTCTACAGAGAGTTGGTGGGATGAAGACTGTCCCTGTCTCCCTTTACCCTTTGTCCCAACACTGGCTGTGTTAAGCTATAAAGTCAAATGACAAAAAAATAGAAAATGTTAGCTGGGTCATGGTGGCACACACTTTTAATCCCAGCACTCAGGAGGCAGAGGCAGGCGGATCTCTGTGAGTTCAAGGCCAGCCTGGTCTACAGTGTGAGTTCCAGGGCTACACAGAGAAAACCTGTCTTGATAAAAACCAGAAACAGAAGGGAGGGAGGGAGGTGAGGGGAAGAGAAGGAAGGGAAGGGAGGGGAGGGAAGGGGAGAAATGTGGGCTCCTTCCAGGCAGGTCTTCATTGGTTTTGCCTCTCTATGGTAAATCTGAGTACAGAGAGGTCAAGTGATTTTCTTAGAGCCACATAGAAATTTGTTCTCTTTCACTACAGGTCAGGTTCCTGATGAAAAGTTACTCCTTCCTGAGAGAGACTGTCCCTGGGATTCTTTGTGTCAGAGGTGAGGTGCCCCTCTGACCCATTGTGAACTGGAACTTCCTGGCTGCCTGCATGAATCCAGAAGATGCAAAGCTCTGCCTTTGCAAGCTGGTTGTCCAGCAGACACAGATCTGGCCCTGAGCTGGACTAAGTGGCCTTATCTTGAGTGTTCTCAGGCCTCTACTGAGAGAACCACACTGTTATCCAGACCTTCTGGGGCTTTCTGGTTCCCAGGTCCAAAGAACCTTCTTAGAGGAAATTGGGATAGAAGGGAAGGACAATGGACTGTGACTGCCTAATCAAGCTCTGGCCACAGCAGGTCTGGAAAGCCGGTCTACAATGCGATCATGTGATCGAGTTCAGCCTCTTTGAAGGCACACCCTGGATCCCTCCCCATGCTAACACAGATCTCTCCACCCTCCCCATGCTAACACAGCCTTTTCATTCCTGCCCAGGGAAGAGTATCAGTGCCCCTAGTTTCTCCAGCTACCTCTACTTCCTCTTCTGCCCTACACTCATCTACAGAGAGGCATACCCCAGGTGAGACCTTGCTGCCCTCCCCAGATTCCCAGGCCTACTGAGGGTGGCGCCCTTCTCCCACAGGCAATGGCCAGTTGTTCAGAAGGAAGCCAAGGGAAAACAGGCTGCCCCTACTGTTGCCCTGCACATTCCCATGACCCACTGTCCCGAGCAATCAACCCACTGTCCTCCACACTCCAGAAATGGTGGATGGTTGGGCACCTTCAGTGACACTTAGACTAAATGTCCACTTACTGTGTTTGCTCGGGGAAACCCCCACAACCCCAGGGAATCCACTCTGGAAGGAGCCTCAAAGAGAGGGCTGAAGGCCTAGGCAGTGCATGACGTAAAAGGAAAATAATGTTCTCCTATCTCTGCTGCAGGACACCCAGCATAAGGTGGAATTATGTGGCCAAGAACTTTGCCCAGGTCAGAAGATGGGTAGAAGATGGCCAGCTCTGACTCATGGTGGCTTAGAAGTAAGGGAGGCTGGGAAGGAGGCTGTACCCTGACAAAGCCATGTGTCCTTCTGACTACAGGCCCTGGGCTGTGTGCTCTATGCCTGTTTCATCCTGGCCCGCCTCTGTGTCCCTGTCTTTGCCAATATGAGCCGGGAACCATTCAGCACCCGTGCCCTGCTGCTCTCCATGCTGCATGCCACAGGCCCAGGTAAGACCTTCATCATGGTGGGAAGAGGCTGTGCCCTGCCCCGGGGAAGGCCTGGCAGGGCAGGCTTCACTCTGTCTTTCTGTGAATCCCTTATACACCTGCCCCCCTCCTGTCCATGTTCATTGTCACCATCTTCATGTAGTCTGGTAGCCTAGCTCCCCACCACTCACCCCCTCTCAGCCTTGGGTCTGGCTTTGCTGCCCAGATGAAGTCCCTCCTGCAAATTAATCACCCATGACCCTGCTTCAAAGCCCTTCCTGCCTTCCTTCTACTCTTGTGAGTGAACCTGAGGGCTTATCCCAAACAAATGCTTTACCATCTATCTTTAGTTACCTTTGTGTAGGATACCGACGTAGCTCAATTCTTACTTTGAGACTGGGTCTAAGTTTCTCAGGTGGGACTTGAACTCAGTTTTTTTACTGTGTCTGGATATTGTGTCTGCATGAATGTTTGTACACCACATACATGTCTGCTACATGCAGATGTCAGAAAAGGGTATCGGATCCCTGGAACTAGAGTTAAAGACAGTTGTGAGCTGCCATGTGGGTTCTGGGAATTGAACCTGGGTCCTCTGGAGAAGTGTGCCATTTCTCTAGCTTTTTGATTTTTCTCTTTTCCTTTCTTATTTGTTTATTCATTTATTTTGATAAGACAGGGTTTCTCTGTGTAGCTTTGAAACCAGTCCTGGAACTTGCTCTGTAGACCAGGCTGGCTTCAAACTCACAGAGATCCACCTGCTCTGCCTCCCAAGTGCTGGGATTAAAGGCGTGCGCCACCACCACCTGGTTCTAATTTTTATTTTATTGCATATACTTATTTTAATTTTTTGAGATAGGGCCTTGCTGTGTTGCCCAGGCTACTTTAGCCCTTTGACTCATGTGATCCTCCTGTCTCAGTTTCTCCAGTAGTTGGGACTACAGGTGCACCAACTCACAGCCAAAGTCCTTTTTCAGCGCCTTATTCTGTATTGTATCCTCTGGAACATTCCTGGTTGTCATGATCATTAGTTCCCATTGTACCCGACCTTGATCCAAACAGGGGTTTCGGCCTCTGTGTGTCTGTCTCAATATTGTGAATTTCCAGAGGCCAGGGACATGGTGAGTCTGTAGTTCTGATTTTCAGGCATAGAGTAGACATTACGCACATCAGCAAATATGTAAATTAAGGAATGCATAAATGATGAGTGAAGTGTTGGGGTCCTAATGGCTGGGCAAAGGCTCTAGAGAGCGGGGGCTGCGGGGCTGCACCTCTTGTCCTGCCCGCCAGGTATCTTCATGCTGCTCCTCATCTTCTTCGCCTTCCTGCACTGCTGGCTCAACGCCTTCGCCGAGATGCTTCGATTTGGAGACAGGATGTTCTACCGGGTACGGCTTGGACTGGGACCCACTGAGAGCAGGAGTTGGGGAGGTTGACCAATGGCCCAGGGAAGAGGGTAGCTACCGTGGGTGTCACCTTCCAGTGCTTTTGGTCTCCGGCATGAGCACTGTGGGCCTCAGGGTGTGGGGACGATGCCACTCCTACACCTCGAAGCAGCAGGGCTCACTGCTTTTGTATGGATGGTGTGTCGAGAACCTTTCTCTTTAGTGGACAGACAATGGGGAGGGGCCCCAGGCTCGAAGAGGGAGCTGGGAGAGTGTTGCTGTTTCTGTTTGGCCAACAGCCAGCCCTTCTGAGAGAGCACAGGTAGGGGTGGGTGTGGGATGCAGCAGTAGCTGCGGCCTGAGATCTCACCTCCGTCCCTCCCCAATCCACACCCCACCCCAGGACTGGTGGAACTCTACTTCCTTCTCCAACTACTACCGCACCTGGAACGTGGTGGTCCATGACTGGCTGTACAGCTACGTGTATCAAGATGGGCTATGGGTATGAGTTGTGCACACTCCTCCATTCTCACAGCCCCACCAAGGGAGCTTCCTTGGGTCCCCTCTCCTTTTATTCTGTCCCACTGTTGTTCAAATAAAAGGGCAGGTATGTGGGGCTTCCTGGCCAGCCATCCTGGTCTACTTGGTGAGTTTCAGATGCACAAGTCCTTGTCTCTATAACACAACAAACAGCACCTAAGCAACAACACTGTCCTCTGGCCTGCACATTCGTGCACGTAGGCACTTGTACATAAAACATAAACATACAGTCAGGTGTTAGTGGCACATGCCTTTGATCCAGCATATGGGAGGCAGAGGCAGGAGGATCTCTGTGAGCTCGAGGCCAGTCTGGTCTACATATGGAGCTCCAGGACATCTAGGACTGCAAAGAGAGACCCTGTCTCAAAAAAATAAGTAATAATAGTAAGGGCTGGAGAGATGGCTCAGTGGTTAAGAGCACTGGCTGCTCTTCCAGAGGACCTGAATTCAAATCCCAGCACCCACATGGCAGCTCACAACTGTCTATAATGAGATCTGATGCCCTCATCTGGTCTACAGGCATGCATGCAGACAGAACACCGTATAACAATAAATAAATAAATCTTTAAAAAAATAATAATAATAAGACTGGGGATATATCTTAATAGTAGAGCACTTTCCCAGCATGCATAAGACTCTTGTCTCCAACACTGTCAAAATAAAAATAATAGTAATAATAATAAAATCATAGCTAAGGTCCAATAGATTAGAACAGCAGTCTTAAATGAGACTGGTGTGGACCCTTCTGAACCCAAGTCCCACATTCTTTCCATTGGCTCCCACCCTTTCCTGACTTGTTGAAGAGGGAGGGACTCTTTGAGAAGGTGCTGTGGCAGACTGGCTCATTCTCTCTCCTGCCCACCAGCTCTTGGGCATGCGAGCCCGCAAGGTGGCCATGCTGGGAGTATTCCTGGTGTCTGCGGTCGTGCATGAGTACATCTTCTGCTTCGTCCTGGGATTCTTCTACCCAGTCATGCTGATGCAATTCCTTGTGATCGGGGGTGAGTCTAACCTCTGACCCGGAGAGGTGGTGGGTGGGGGGAGGCCTGGATGTTCCTGAGATGCTCGACTGTCCTGGAGTTTGCTGGGTCTGGGTGGCCTTGGGAGGCAATGGGCACATCCTGAGGTTTCTAGTTACAGAGAAGCATTTGATCAAAGGATGTGGAGGGAATAGGGAAACCTTGGTGTGGCTGAGAAATGCAGTATAAGATTCAGGAAGTGAGGGGCAAACTGAGCTTCTCCCAGTCCCTTGAGAACTCCAAGAGTTTCTGCAGCTGTGCTCACGGTCTTGTCTTGGGAGGGAGAATCTCCTTTCCATTACATCACTTCCCAGCCGCTAGCATGGGAGGCAAAAGGAGACAAGACACAGAGATGTGGAGCTGGGATTATAACCCGTCTCCTGCCCTAGGGCTGCTGAACTTCACCATGAACGACAGACGCACAGGTCCAGCCTGGAACGTCCTGATGTGGACCTTGCTCTTCCTGGGCCAGGGCATCCAAGTCAGCCTATACTGCCAGGAGTGGTATGCTCGGCGACACTGTCCCTTGCCCCAGGTAAGGCAACCACCTCTCCCAGTTCCTCATCTGAGATAGGGAACCCAGAAACCAGCCCTTTTGGGCTTTGATTCAGAGACAAGGCACGGCTGGGGCAGGGGGACTCTTGTTTTAGATTCGTAATGTGTGTCACCGGAAGTGGCCTCACTCACAATCTACCCTTCCATGGCACAGACAACATTCTGGGGGCTGGTGACACCTCGATCTTGGTCCTGCCATCCCTAGAAGTCAAGGCACCGTGCTGCCCAGATGATGGTATCAACTCTTCTGTGCCTGCAAAGCCCAGGGCTGGGCTCCTCACTGCACCCCCCCATCCCGTTCGGAGTCAGAGACTTGCACACAGGACCTGCCAGGGGGATACAGAGACTCAGGAACACAACTCTGTGGGCAGCTGACCACAGACTCAGTGTGGGGTGATTCGAGCAGCATCTGTGGACTGGGCACAGGTTACCTTCTTACCCAGGGCTTTCCCAATGTGAGGCGACCCCGAGGAACAAGGGCCACTAAATCTGAGAAGTGTCCGGTTCTTTCTACTCCTCCCCATGCAACAATAAAATCTCTGTCCCCCTTTTCATTCATTCTCATCATTTGTTGAAAACCCACCTCATTATTGTTTTGTGGTTTTTTTTTTCCTAGTGTGACTTTGGTTTTGTGGAGTTTTTGTTTTATTTCACTTTGTTTTTAGGCAGGGTCTTACTATTTAGATCTAGGGCTGGTCTGAAACTTGCTATGTTGACCAGGTTGGTTGCAAACTCAACGAGATCCACCTGTCTCTGTCTTTCAAGTACTGGGATCAAAGGTGTGTGCCAGCACACTTGGAGAAAATGGGCTTTGTGAGTAAGTGACCTTACAAACAACTGTATGACAAACAGCCTCATGCACGCATGCACGCACACACACACACACACACACACACACACACACACACTTGAGTATTTATCTCTCTGTTACTCACTGTATACTTCCAAACGGGTATTTTCTAAAAAAAAAAAAAAGTTAAAACATTGTTCAGTGAGGGGCTGGAGAAATGTGTCACAGGTTAAAAGTTTGTATTGTTTTCTTATAATTGCTGCTCTAAGAGATCTTACTCTCTCTTCTGGCCTCTGAAGGCAATGCGCTCCAGTGTACACACAGTACCCACACACACATACAAACACTTGATTAAAAATAAAAATTAGCTGGGAGTTGGTGGTGCACGCCTTTAATACCAGCACTCGAGAGGCAGAGGCAGGTGAATCTCTGTGAGTTCAAGACCAGTCTGTTCTACCAAGCTTTCCAGGACAGGCTCCAAAACAGCACAGAGAAATCTTTTCTCGAGAAACCCTGTCTCGGAAAAAAAAATGTCAAGCCAGTCAGGCAGTGGTGACACACACCTTTAATCTCAACACTCCAGAGGCAGAGGCAGAGGCAGGAGGATCTCTGTGAGTTCAAAGCCAGCCTGGTCTACTGGGTGAGATCTAGGCAGCTAGGGCTACACAAAGAAACCCTATGTCAAAAACCAAGCCAAGGGCTGGAGAGATGGCTCAGTGGTTAAGAGCACTAGCAGCTCTTCCAGAGGTCCTGAGTTCAATTCCCAGCAAGTATCTGGTGACTCACAGTCATCCATCTGTAATGAGATCTGGTGCCCTCTTCTGGCCTGTGGACACACATGCAGACAGAATACTGTGTACATAATAAATACATAAATCTTTAAAAACAAAACATAACAGGAAGCCAATCCTATCGGTGGGAAAGCTGAAGCAGAAGGATTGAAAGTTCCAGCCCAGCCAGAGTTAGACAGCAAGATCCTGTCTCAAAAACAATGTAAGGGCTGGCTTCCTGACAGTGTGTGTACCAGCCTCAGTCCTGCTTCCTGACTTCCTCACCGACAAGGACTGTACCTTGTACTGTGGACCAGAGTAAACCCTCTTTTCCTTAAGTCACTTTTGTCAGAGGATTTACCATAGCAACAGGAAAATGAAGTAAGTCTGAACATTTTCTTTAATATTTTATTATTTTATGTTTATTTTTACTATTATTTTTTAATGTATAGAGTGTGTATGTGTGTGTTGAGAGTGCACGAGCACAGGCATGAATGCATGCATAATGACCTGGGTGTACTTACATAGGTCAGAGTGCAACTTGTCAGTCTATTTGCTCTTTCCACCATGGGGTTTCCTCAGGGAATGAACTCAGGATGTCATATTTACCAGCTAAGCCATCTTGGCAGCCCAAAACTGTATTCTTTATTATCTATCTATCTATCTATCTATCTATCTATCTATCTATCTATCTATCTATCTATCTATCTTTTTTGAGACAGGGTTTCTCTGTGGCTTTGGTGTCTGTCCTGGAACTAGTTCTTATAGACCAGGCCAGCCTCGAACTCACAGAGATCCGCCTGCCTCTGCCTCCCAAGTGCTGGGATTAAAGGCGTGCGCCACCAACGCCCAGCTGTCAGAGGACATCCTACAAAGCCTACCAAGTGGATCCCAGGGACTGAACTGTTACTCAGGCTGCCAAGCTTGGTCCCAGATACTTTTCTTTTGCCCTGGCAGGCGAGTGCCTTTTCCACTGTGAGTCTGGGCACCGTTCCCTTTTGGTTTCCCACTTGCAGTATTCTCTGCAAGCTGATCCATTTCCCATTGCCAAAAACCCGTTCTGTCTAGAACCTGGACGGTGATTCTGTGACCTCAGAATCCAGGTGTTTCCTGTCTACGTGTCCCTGCTTTCTTTTCTCTTCTGTGCCCCTCCAGTCTGTAAGTTTGGGTCTTTATCTGGGTCTGCAAGGTATTTTCCTACTCTGTAATTATTGTCTTTCCTCAGCTCCTCCATTTCTTCTTCTGGAGCCGGAACAATTCGGTGTCAGAACTATTGGTATTTTTCTAATTATTTCCATCTCCTCATATTTGCTCTGTGCTTTGAAATACTTTTTCCACTTGTTCATCCAAGCCACTGATTTGAGTCTTGCCAGTAACCATTCTGTCTTTCAGTACATATACTGTTTTTTTTTTGTTATTGTTGTTCAAAATAGCCATTTTATTTCCAGAAAGTGATGGAGTTTGGGGTCTTTGGCCTTGGTTTTGTTTTTGCACACAACTTGGATATATTTAAGTGGTCCTGACTGCTTCTTAAGCAGTTGGACGCTTCTCCTGGGTGGTCCCTATGCTTTCTAGTGGGCAGGAGCCATAGCAACTGCATCCCTCCAGAGTCACAACTCTGAGTCACTCTCTTCCAGTATGCCCATGGCCCTGACCTCTGCTTACAGGTTCCAAGGGTCAGTGACAGTGACAAAACTGCATGAAGCTGTCCGCAGCAGGCCTTCTCTCCACTGACCCTGAGGCCAAGCCCTCACCTGTACTCACTCCCCACTGGCACCAGCAGGGACGTGACTAAGGACAGGTGATCGGAGATCCGAGTGGGAAAGGATGGAAATTCCCGTTGAATAGGAGCCCTCAAGCCAGAACAACCATTCTGGGATTCGTTAATATTGATTGGGTTGGACTTTCTCTCATACCAACCTCAATCCAAGAGTTTCTGATTCACTGGCTCACCAAGCCTGGAGTCAGGTCAGAACTTACATTTTAACTAGTGTGCAGGGCTAGCCAAAATTGCTGATCTAGGGACCACACTTTAAGAACTATTGCTTGGGGCTGGAGAGATGGCTCAGAGGTTAAGAGCACTGACTGCTCTTCCAGAGGTCTTGAGTTCAATTCCCAGCAACCACATGGTGGCTGACAACCATCTACAATTCAATCTGGTGTATATGTAATAAATAAATAAAATCTTAAAAAAAACCTGTTTAAAAAAAATAGAACTATTGCTTGGCTGGGCGGGGGTGGCACATGCCTTTAATCCTAACACCCTAGCACTCAGGAGGCAGATCTCTGAGAGTTTGAGGCCAGCCTGGTCTACCGTGTGAATTCCAGGACAGCCAGTGCTGTTACACACAGAAACCCTGTCTCAGGGGGAAAAAAAAGGAAGAAAAGAAAAAGAAACTATTGCTTTTGAGGCTGAATGGATGATTTAGTAGTTAAGAGTACTTGCTGCACAACCATGAGAACCTAGTTCAGATCCCAGCACCACATATCTGGCCAGATGTAGTTGTACATACCTACATCTCCATGGAGATGGGAAGACCAGAGGATCACCAGGGCAGGCTGGCTGTCAGTTTAGCCAGGAAACAAAAAGATCAAGTTCAGGAAGAGGCCCTGACTCAAAGTAATAGGCAGAGGTGGTGGAGGAGTACACCCGGTGCCCTCATCTGACCTCCGCCCAGATATTTTCCAGTAAGTGGCAGTGGGTGAGCATTAGGGAATGTGGTCTTGGTTCTTTTTGTCATGTGGAGCTCAGGGATTAAACTCAGGTTGTCAGGCTTGGAGCAAGTGCCCCTCCACTTAGCTCTGGGTTGTTTTTCTTTTGTTGTTAGGCAAGACGTTAGGCAGACATTGCTTCCTGGTTCCATGTTGGGTCCTTCAGTTTGTTCTGGTACCAAGGTTTGTAAACTGTAGAGCTTGGCTTTGTGGAGCCATGCTTCCTCTTGACTAGCCTTTGTGATGGCAGATGAGCCCTGTGACAGAGCCCCAGCAAGGGCCCATGGTCAACTCTTGTGGGATATTTGATCACACTGATAACACTGTGTAATCCAGAGACTATGTTAACAAAACCAACCTTGGATCAGGAGTGGTGGGCGGCAGCTACTAGTTGACAAGAATTAGCCATAGAGAGTACGAGAGACCTGGTAAGATGGACACAGATGCACAGGAAGGAGTAGGGAGGGACTTAGAGATTCTCCATCTTTCTTGGTTTGGAACAAGTGGAGAGATGCTCTCTTGCCGAGTCTCCAGCCAAAAAGGAAGGTCAGCTGGTTGCTTCATGGCTTCTCTGATCTAGTAGGGTTTCATCCCAATATCTGACTCCCAATCTTTGTTAAATAGAACAAATTAGATTTAAAAAACAAAACAAGAGCTGGAGAGATGGCTCAGAGGTTAAGGGCACTGACTGCTCTTCCAGAGGTCCTGAATTCAATTCCCAGGAACCACATGGTGGCTCACAGCCATCTATCATGTGATGTCCTCTTCTGGTGTGAATACAGAACACTGTACATAGTAAATAAATAAAACTTAAACAACAACAACAACAACAATAAACCCCATATAGGGCATAGCCCAAGCAGGCCTTGATACCAATGTGTTGTGGTGGGTGGGACCAAGGTTCTTTCCTTCCACCATCTGACCTAGTCTACAGGTTTGCCTACTTCTGACTGGAAGGAGCTGGAAGGTCAGCTCCTCCTAGATTCAAGTAATCACACCCTATTTTTCCTGGCAATTGCTCCCAACAGCACACAGACAGCCCCCCCCCGCCCCAATCTGTCCCTACCTCCTCCTCTCCTGATCCTCTTCCCCATCATGGTCAAACTTCTAGAATTACCTGTGATCCCTTTGGCTGTCTGCTCATTACTGTTCACCATTGTGTGGCTTTGAGTCTACAAAGGGCCTCTCTATTTTATCATGGGATACTGATTGTAGTCAATCTATTATTGTCCTTCCCATTACAGAGACCTATTCTAATACATGACTGTACTCTGGATAGTTT